GCTATATGCCTGGCCAGAAACTTGTATAAGAAATCATGGAAACACCTAGAAGGCTATGATTTTATATGATTTTAAATGATAGGTTTCAATATGCCCTATGAATGACAGCCACCCCACATAGGTTCTAAGTACCTAAACTGAAGTCAGCCTCAAGCATGAAAGTCGGTTGTCACCACCACCCCTTCCTACTACATTTGTCTCTTATACCTGTGATCTTTCAATTCTCAATGAACAGTTGTAACCCTTCCATACACAAATGCAATTCTAGCCACCATCTGTTATCCCTTGAGCTTATGGTATCATGGAGGTAGACAGGCACAGAAACAAAAAATGAAATACAAAACCAAGATATAAATATGAATCAGATTCAATGGAGGCACAGGATGGAACGCTAAATCCTACAGGGTGAAGGGTGAGAAAGGAGTTGTGCTAAGCCTTGAAAGATGGGGATAAATTCCATATACAGGCAGGTGGAGTGGCTAAGCTATCAATATGTTTATTTTGAGTAAGAAGGAGGAGAAAAAGGAAGGGACAGGAGTCTTTTTTTAATCCTTATTTTATTTCAGCCCTGTGTCTACCAGGTATTATCAGAGTATAATTAAGACAAAAGAAGGTAGGGTTTGAGGCTGCAAGAAGGGCCATGCAAAAGCCACATACTATTCTCAGAGTTATGGTCCTTACAGAGTCAGACCATTCACTCATTTGTTTACTTATTCATTCTCTCATCCAGTGTTTACTGACCACTTATTAAGTAGCAGGTGTTGTGCTAGGCATTGGTGATATTTGGTGAACATGCTATATTTAGTTCTTGATTTCATGGAATGCACAGTTCAGTGGGGGAAGACAGTCGACTGGGTAATCACAAAACTCAACTCATTATTTACTATAAAGGGATCACTTAAAAAAAGTATAAAGCACTAAAATTACATTCAACTGGTGGGCTCTACTGACTAAATGACTTTCAGCTGAGGTTCAGGAAAGAGGAAATAACATTAAGAAACAGTGTTCCATGGAGAGCAGAGGAAAGACAGCTTATCCAGCTGTATAGACGCTATAGTCAAGTGAGTCTTATCTGAATTGCCTAGGCCAGGGTCCACACAATAAACTTCGAAATGTGTTACCACTCCAAGGTTTCCCTGCTGCCTCTTCTGTGCTCTAAATGTAAAAGTGCATCACTATTTGATAGAATGAAAGAAGTTCCTTTGCCTTCTGGGTTAATGTCTAAGAAAGTAGCTTCAAAAGCTTCAAAAGCAGTGACTGTGTCTTGTCTTTTTGCTAGAGTAGTGTGATGAATCATATCAAAGAATAGTTGTTTGCAAAGTCTGAGATTACAATGCCATTTTCCTCTGAAACTGCAGCATGTTTTTTGTAAAGAAATCTTAGTGCTATCTAGCCAGGAAATTTCTAGTCCAGAAATAGCTTCACACTGCGTTTCCACTGAAATTGAAACCAAGAAAGAAAGGGTCTCCTAGGAAAGGTTATAATCATGAGGTTAGAGTGAGTGTTAATGCCTGTTCTCCTATCATATACTCATAACCATTCTCTAGTAGAATTAAAAGGGAAGTTACTCTAGCAGATGTTTTCAAATTAGCCAAAAACATGTCACGGAGAAAAGCAGCAGAGTTGGATATGCGCCCAGCGAGAGAGAGACCTTCCCAAAAGCCGCCTGTGAGAGCCATTTAAATGTCTCTGAGCCCTCGAGGTGCAGGCTGGGATGCACAAACTAGGGAGATAAGCAAGTCCCAACACAAATCCTCCTCCCCTAATTGCTTATCCACAGCTTCAATACGACCTCTGCTGAATACTAAGAAAACCTGGCAGGGTTGGGGCAGCTAATACACTGCCAAATCACAGTCTTCATGCTTCCTTTTGTGTTGTTGCTTACAAATCTGATAAGAAAACATTGAGAGGCGATATAGAAATAGTCAATGACAACAGATGAGCAAACTGTGATAACTGAATATGAAAATGAACGGTTTAGTTTTGCACAATTACCAGGAGGACAGTGGGTTTGTGTCTTCCCAGCAGATCCAGAACATTGACAGCTAGTTAGTTCACAACAACCCCAAGTGGGGCAATCATAACCCAGCTATGTTGGTTCTTATCTACTCAAGAAAAGTCCCAAGAATCTGGGCAAAAGATCTATAGCTATACACCCAGAGGGCTTTCTATGTGTGAGCTGGTCTTCTGAAGTGGGATGTTACTTGTTACCCAGTAATCATCAACTCCTACAGGTAGAAGAAAATAAACACCAACCAGGAGAAACCTTAAGTCAATAAAGACAGAGAAAATTTCTAGTTTCTCAACCTGTACACCAATTGTCTAGTCCCTACCATCAACTAGAGTGAAGGATGTAAAATTGATGGCTCAACACATCTCATACAATACCAACCTCTGTGTAACCAGAGAAAGGAAGAAAGACCTCAAAGGGAAGTCATTCACCTTCTTAACCTCCTTATAGCCCCATCCCAGTTTTCCTGTTCTCAGCCACGTTTTGCTCTGCAGGTTTGAGTGTTGCAGGGTTACAAGAAAAGTAGTGTGTGTGTGTGTTTATTTATATATATAATGTATATTTTGCATAAGCCAAATAGGTATGTGTTGAAAGAAAAGAAGCTGGTACCTGGTATCTCATAAAATGAGTCGTCATTTGGTGTTTTAATAAATTAAAGTGAATGACTGAAGATTAGTTCTTAATTCTCCTTTGTTGTAGAAACTGTTTGATCATTCTAGGAACAGCATCTTTGGAAATTTCTGATAGACTACACATCTGGAGAAAATGACCTTCAAAGGGCAGTAACAAGATTCAATCTGCAAATTCCCCACGATAAAAAAAAAGAAGAAAGACATTTGGGGGCCACTGAAATTATTGTTTTTTGTTTGTTTGTTTTGTTTTTTAAATGGAGAATTACAAGCGCTTTTGATCTTCTGGAAATAAATGAGGCAGCCTAAGACATGGGGTGCTTTTGAACCTTCAAGTGTCTCATCAGCACAAAGATTTTTAGAATGCTGGAAAAGGGCTTTGTGATTGTGTTTCTTTAAAATAAAATGTTCAAAGAGAGCAACATACCACAAACATAAGGCCTAGATTGTAAGTGTGGGAGGCGAGGATGGAAAAAAGTGTTCAGATTTCTCAAGTCCTTTCTTTCAGCCTTCCTGCTTTAATAGTGCTCCTTTAGCCAGGGAAAATAATTATGAAAAGAAAAGAGAAAAAAAAACAAAAGAACTTACAAGTATATCATTTCCTTAAATTAAGCAAGAAAAGGCAAGTGTGGTTTCTATAGAGATGAAATCTTCATATCTTCAAATCTTTAATCTCCAACTGAATGCTTCCTAAGAGGAAACAAATCCTTCTGCATGGAGCAGAGTTGCTCTGATAAAAGGTGGAACAATTTATGGGAATGACCAAGAAGACACCATAATGTGAATTTGAGCCTATTATAGAAATGTCACTATGAAAATATATATTTACATAGCATTTTACTATTTTTTCTGTATTTGAAATAGAAAAATCAAAATCATAACACTGAATTCTTTGTTTCCAGAAATTGCTATTCAAAGAATGTGGCACATGTCTCAAGTTGTAGCTGAAACTACTACTATGCTACATATCTCTAAATGAGTAGCTAGCAAAACTTCAGTTCCCCTCTTCCCAGTTTTAATTTTGTATTTTAAAAAAATAATCAATCTAGATGATTACATGGAATAAAGGCATACACATCTAATCAAGTTAAATAAAAATATATGCAATTTGTATTTCAAAGTATGATTCAATGGGACACTTAAGCTTAGAAGGATTTAGAAAGTAGAAGAGCATTTAGTTTTAGGCAATTTCTTTATATGGTCTCCACAATATTTTGAGAGACAAGTCTTGATTTCAACGATCACTGCTATGCTTTATCAAGGTTTTTGTCCTGGCAGGACAAAGTTTATATTGAAGGAGACAGTTAAGATGCTGAACCATGAAAATTTCCCATAAGGAAAATTTATGTACTCAATATTCCCCACAAAAGCACAATTGTTCCTGTGTAATTTAAAGAGTTTTGTCAGAAAACTACTTCAAAATTTTTGTAAAGACTGTTAACCTGATCAAGTTGCCAATATTTATATTGCCTATAATCTTTGAGACAAAATATTTTATTTGGCAAACTAATCTTACAATGGAAATATATAGAGAGACATGTAAAAAATTTTTAATACCATATATTTGCAAATATGTTCAAGTTTTTTTTCATAGAAAGTAACCAATACTTTTTCTTAAATAAGTCGATTTTTTTTGATAGTCATAGAATTTTAGATCTGGAACCAGAAATATTTCAAGGCAGTGACTTCCCTATGGCAATTTTAAATCGAACTAATAAATTTTAAGGAAATTAATAACAAAACTATGAACACCAGATTCCTATGAACTTTCCTATTTTGTAACAGAATATAAATTTTTCTGAAGCAAGAGTAACTTTTACAACCTAAACATTTAAATTTTATATATTTTGCATTGATATATTCAATATGGCACTGAATTTTTTTTAAGCAAAGAAAACGTTATCCTTTATGACATTAGCTAAATTAAAGTACTTATATCTTGCCTTCATGCATTTCTACATACGCAAAATTAGATAGGCCAGTGAAAGTTGTTTCCTGAAACTGAAATTCTGCTATAAATAATAGTCAAAAGGCTGTTAGCTCCTTCCTGGTAAAAATAATTTACAAGATGTTCGCATTCAGTCCAAAAACCGCTTTCCTAGTTCTAAGCATATCTCATCCCAGGGTCTGACTACAACTCAGATTGCTCCATCAGCACTTTGGAGAGCCATTCGTGAACTCTCAAAGCTAAAGATCTGCCCTTGTTACTTTTATTATATGTCTTTCATCTTGTAATTCCATCAATTCACGTGTTATGCCAGGGAAGACAGGGAGCACTGATCTCTCACGCCCCGGAGACAGGCTCACTGTGTCAGGAGTGTACGGTCTCGCCTGAGTCCATAAAAGAAATCACATCTCACCCACTGGCGTCTCTGTCCCGGCTGTCTCGCCACCTCCAGCCCTTGCCCCTCCGCACGCCTTCCGCTTCTCAAACAGAAAATTCCACAGCGCTACTGGCCAGGAGAGAGGCGAGCCCAGAAGCTGGGGGGCGGGAGCGGCGCTCAGACACAGGCACTAAATGTGTCTCGGGCACCCGAGCGCCGGGCTGCCCCTTCCCACAGTGCCCTGGAGCCAACCGGCGAAGCAGGGACCGCTCGCCTGGCGAGAAGAGCGCAGCAGCCCGACTTCTGAATGCAGGGTCTTCATCCCGGCGCGGCCCTACGAAGGTCCCTCCCGCAGCTGCAAATGCCCTTCAATGAAAGTGCAATTTGTTATCTTTCCCAGCCCCAAGGAGAGGTCCCTGTTTGGTCTAGGCTCCAGCGCTGCTCATTCAAGTCCATGAATACCGGCCTCGGCAGCGGGCGGGGGCAACTTTCCAGTGACCTCCCCCTTGGACCCCGTCCTCTGTCTGTATCTCGCTCGCTGTATCTCCCGTCTCTCTCCCTGTGCCTCTGTCTCTTTGTGCCTCTGCTTCTCTGGCTTTTTCTCTTACGAAGCGCGCGCGCGCGCGCACACACACACACGGAGGAGGCTCACCGCAACATTTGCCAAAATGTCACCTAAAACGCAAGTGCAACAACTTGCTTTGGAAACGACCCAGGAGTCGGTGGAGAAACCCCCTACAGTGAGCAGCCCCCTCTTACCCCGCAAGGTGCATCAGGGGTTGGGTAGGATGTGGAATGAATTTGGCAGATGGAGATGATCCGGACTGGTGTTAACCTCTCCTCCTTACAGGACCCTGTAGCGATTAGAAATCCATCCCCTCCACGGGGCCCCAAAAAGAGAGGAAAGGAACGCACGCCCGGAGAGGGGCTCGCCGGCCCGGGGTTCCGGGGACCCTCAAGGGTCAGCGCCCGGGAGTACGCCCCAGGCGGCGGAAGGCGAGGGAGAAAGGGTCGCGCGGGCCCGCGGCCAAGAGCCCAGCCTACAGTCCCTCCGCTGACCAGACAAACGACGACCAAGCGGCGGGCAAGAGCCACCGAGCGCGGCGCGCCCCCGGCGTGGCGGTGGCCCGGGCTCCGGTGGCCGCCGCCACGCTCGCACGCCCCAACCCCACCGCGCAGCACGGCGTTACCTTGCCGCTGCCCGCAGTCCGGCCCTTGGTCCCTGCGTCGGTCAGTCGGTCCCACGAGCCTCAGGGGGAGGACTAGAGGGTGTTTTCGTGGTCAGGACGGGCTCTCAGTGGCGGACGGAGAAGGACTCGGGAGAAGAGCCGAGGCGGCTGCGGTGGCTTCCGCCGCCGACGCTGCCGATTCGCCGGAGCCGGAGGTGTCGAGGAGGCCGTGTCCTCGGGATCGCGGCGCCCAGAGCGCTGCGCTCCCCGCTGGCGCCGAGGCTGAGCGCCGGGACGCGGCGGCGGGCTGGGGCGGCGAAGCTGGGCCGGCCACCCGCCTCCGGGTGCATGTTAATACGGTGGGGAGGAGGAGTCCCGCGCTTCCTCCGCCCAACCACCGGAGCCGGCGGGTGGGCGGCGGCCGCGGCCGGGAGCCAGGGGCTCCAGCTGCTACCGCGAGGCCACTCACCCCGGCCCCGGCTCAGCACGTGCGCCGAGGCCGCCGGGAGGCGCCGGCGTCGCCCACACCGTGCTCCTGGCCTGTGCGTTCTGCCCGCTCAGCCTTCGTGGTGGCAAGGGCTCTCACACCGAGCGCAGGAGAAAGCCCCTCATCCATGGTAAGGAACCGAGAGGCGGCCACCCGTGAGTGGGCGTGCCCCATCCGTTCCCTTGCACAGCGTCTCAGGAGAATTCAACCTTCCCCTACACTCTTGCCAGCAGCTGTTCTTAACCTTGCCTTTTCAAGGGAGGGGATTAGGAACTCATAGCAATTTCTATTACAGGAGGTCATGTTGGCGGGTAGAGGAGGGTTTGCTGTCCTCCCTTCTCCATCCTCAGGGTCTCTAGCAAAATATTTGAAGAGGTACTCGCCACAGAGGAAACAGGGCAGTGGAAAAGAGTCTAGACTCACAAGGTCCGACGTTCAAACCCAGTGCCATTACTTTCCTCAAGTTCAAACCCAGTTATTCCTCAGAGCCTCCGTCTCCCCATCTATACAACAGCAGCTCTTGGAAGGATGTGTGGATTTGATGACATTATATATATTCCACCGGTTCCTCTTGGTGTAGCCCAAAGGTAATCGGCAAAACGAATCCTCTTTTCTCCTGTCCTCTGACATCAGCAAACTCCCCAGGATCTACTCCATGTGCATTTGGAAGCAAGTCTCATTCACATACGCTGAGGTCCTCACCTCTAAGTACAGTAAAACCTTGGGTACTCCGAAAATAGGAAGAATCTACATGGCTTCAAAGTAACAACAGATAAATGGTATGGATAGGTGAACTGAGATATGGGTCAAAGTGGAAAACACTAGTATCCGTTGCGCTCCTTCTCTACCCCTTTAAGTACTAATGTACTGGATGATAATAGTTAAAATAATCGTGGTTAACCACCATCTTCCTGTTTCCCTCTACTCAAAAAAGAATGGGTATCTTCTTGGAGAATGTTCTTTGTGCTACAGCTCCCAGAGAGAACATTACGCCAGAGAGCATATAATCTTCTTTATGTAATTGTACCCATAGAGTTATAGCATAAGATTTAGCATCTGCTTTGTGTGATATCTAATTATAAATATTAATAGAATATCCTTTTTAAATAAAACAGTTCTTAAAATGCAGGGAAGTGAAAAACAGTTTCCATAAAAATATGACTCAGATAAATAATCGCTTTTCCGCAATTTTACTGAGTGATTTTCCATTGAAGAGGGAAAAAAAAATCTTTAAACCACTAGACACTCAAAGAAACAAAAGTAAATCCTCAGCGTTGTAGTACCATGATCACCAATGCTTGAACAAAACTCTAAAAAATATCCCCAGCCAACTCAAGAATGACTATGTAGGAGCACTTATGCTTTTAATAACGTCCTATGAAAAGGTAAAGTACTGATATAGGAAAAATGCCTTCATAATCTAGAAAAAGCAACTACTTTGCCTTTCCAGATTTGTAAATGTTTAATCCATAGATTTTTAATGAGGTCATGTAAATAAGAAGACTAATATAATTGTCAGTTCTTAACTCAAATTAGGTGACTTAGGTAAATAAAATTACTTGAAGCAAACAATAAATTTGCATACAACATTCTTATGGTAGTTTAACCCAGCATCAATCATAACTATATAACACTATGATTATTAGGGTTTTCTGACTGTAAGTAACAGAAACCAAATTTGGCAAACTTAAGAGAAAGTAATTTATTGGTAAGATACGGAAAGCTTCCATAATTGAAGGGAGGGCTGGAAAGCAGTCTTGGAAACAGGCAGGATTTGAGGTAGTACAAGATGACTAGGGAGCTGGAAAGACAGAAATAGTTTGGTTTGGTGCTCGTTAGTCAACATGAATAAATGCCAACTGTTAACTCCTAACCTCACATTACTGGATCTAGATTCGTCATAAGGGGCCAGCCGAGTGGCACGATGGTTAAGAACTGGCTTGGGATGCCAGAGGGCCCCAGTTCGGATCCCACATATGCGGGCCAGTGACACTGCCCTCCACAGCTAAGATGCTGAACAACAGCTCAACCTCGAGCTGGGCTGCTGTTGAGTAACCGGGACTACGTAGGCTGCAGCCCCTGTGGCAGTGGGTTGCCATGGGCTACTGTATGTAGACAGCAGCCAGCAGCCGCAGTGAGCCGTGGTCCAGAAGCCGGCGACTGATCTGCCTTGCCTGGGAAGAGTGCAATGATGGTGCCAACTTGGGCCAGTGAAGCAACATCCTCCACAACTAGATTGAAGTACAGAACGACAGCAACTTGTCTGTTCCCCTTCCCCCAATTTCCCAACACTGTTCCCATCCCCCTAATTCCCCAGTAAAAATCTTAAAAAAAAAAAAAAGATTCATCATAGGGTAGTAGAGCATTTGACTGGTCAAACTTCAAACTGTACCAGCATAGTGAGAGGAAACATTTGGTTTTTCAACTTCCAGAATGAAAGGCAGGAACCTGAATTTATCACCCTTCCAAAAGTACACATTGGAGATAGGTAATTCCTCAAAAACAAGTTCAAGGAGCTATGAGGAAAGAGAATATGATGCTGAAGTAAAAAAAAAAAAAGATAAATGTCTGTTATATTGACTGGCTATGAAATTTACATTATAATTAGAGTTATTTGGAAATAAACAGTGATATTGTGCAAGTAAAACTGATAGCACTTTTTTGTAATTATTATTATAAAAATGCTTGTTTTTAGTTAAGGAAAGCTGTTTAAATATACTGAGGGTACCAAAACAATGTATACACGTTTTAAGAAAGGAAAAAACTGTATTAAAATTGTAATACTCAATACATACCAATAACAAAAGATGAATACAAGTCACAATTGATATCTGCAATTACAAGAGGTGCTCAAAGTGGTTACCTTCAGTGTAATTTTAATAGTTTTTTCCTTTCTTAAAATGTGCATTTATTTTTGTGGGGACCCTCTGTATATATGGCCGGTTACCTTATTTATATAAGCATAGTGCTTATAACCACTACTATAAGCCAGGGCTAGCTGTTGTGTTCATTTTTATTTTCTTTTTAAATTTTTTTTTAAATTGGGGAATTGGGGGGATGGGAACAGTGCTGGGGAATTGGGGGAAGGGGAACAGACAAGTTGCTGTTGTTTCATTCTTCAATCTAGTTGTGGAGGACGTTGCTTCACTGGCCCATGTTGGTATGATCATTGAGCTCTTCCTGCATGAGGCAGGTCGGTCGCCGGCTTCTGGACGGCTGCTCACCGTGGCTACTGGCTACACATGGTAGCCCATGGCAACCCACTGCCACAGGGGCTGCAGCCTACACTGTTGCCGGCGACTCATGGCAGCCCAGATCCAGGTTGAGCTGTTGTTCAGCATCTTAGCTGTGGAGGGCAGTGTCACTGGCCCTCATATGTGAGCTCTGAACCGGGGCCCTCTGGCGTCCCAAGCCAGTTCTTAACCATCGCGCCACTCGCTGGCCCTGTTGTGTTCATTTATAATCATGGTGTGTGATAGCTGAAGAAAGATGTCCATATCCTAATCCTTGAACCAGTGAATGTTATGTTACAGGACAATTTGCAAGTGTGATTAAGTTAAGGATCTTGGGATGGGAATGTTATCCTGAATTACCCAATATGCCTGATGTCAAAGGCATGAGATGATTGAAGCAAAGGTTGGAGTGATGCATTTTGAAGATGGAGGAATGCAGCCATGAGAAAGGAATACAAATAGCCTTTAGAAGCTAGAAAAGGCTAAAAAAGATTTAGAAGCTAAAAAAGATTCTCCCCTAGAGCCTTCAGAAAGAATGTCAGTCTGTTACCATCTTGATTTTAACTCAGTTAAACTGATTTCAAACTTCTAATCTCCAGAACTGTAAGATAATAAATTCATGTTACTTTAAGCCACCAAGTTTCTAGTAATTAGCAAAAACAGCTATAGGGAACTAACATAGACATCTTAGCTAACTCTTGGGGTCACACTGTTGGTAGCAGGTGTCATGATAGCCTCGCTATATAAAAAAACAAAAACAGGTACCATATTTTGCAGTATATAATGCATACTTCTTTGCTCAAATTTGTGAAGGAAAAATAAGAATGTGCATTATACACGGGTAGTACTAATTCCGTACTTATATAAATAATTGTAATTATTTTTTTATGCTTATGAGTTAAAAGTGTAACTCTAGAAATCAATAACAATGTCCATATGCAAAATAATACCCTAGAATACGATAATTGATTTTGTTGAACTTATGACGAACTTGCAACGAAGAAAAGTTCTTGGCCTTCTATGATGCATAAATATCGTAAATTTGTTACCGGTACATAAAATTTCTTGTACCTTGTATCGGTTCTTGTATTTTGTAATTACTTGATACATAAAATTTGTTGTACCATAATATGTTGAAAAATAAATGCTAAAATTCCTTGTAATACAAAAAACAAGTACTTAAATGTAAAATAAAAATTTGAATTAAAAAATTAAAACAAAGATTTTTTTCCGTGAAAGTTTGGACCAAAAATGTGGGTGTGCATTATACACTGGAGCACATTATACACTGCAAAATACTGTATATCTACTTCTGGAGAAGATAACTCAAATGAGGCCAAGTCAGTAATGTTTGGTAGGAACAGGAAATTGGAAACCATGGAGATAGAACTCCTATTCATGAGTTTCTATTTTTCTGGTTAAATCAAAATAGTACCATTCTTCTTAAATCACAACATGGTCAAACAGGTAAAATCCCATTAGAATGAAGTATAGTTTTGAAAGAAGAAAGAACTGAAAGGGCAAAGTTAATGATAAGTGGGAAAGACATATGTGTTTCTTCTGCATTAACAAAGCATTCGCATTCTGTCTTATGATTTTACATAACATTTAAATGGTGGTCCCAGACGTATCTTCAGCCTTGACCTCTGAACTAGGTTTCATACTTGTGAATCCAAAGGCCTACTAGACAAATCCACTTGGAATTTCCACTGCTACTCCAAACTTAACAGGCACAAATTAAACTCATCATTTTCTGCCCTTTTCCTCCATTCAAATGTATTCCTTTTCCTGTTATACTATATGGATTAATGGCACTATCATCTTTCAAGTCACCGATGTCAGAGTCCTGTGAGTTATCCTAGACTTCTGCATTCACCGATCACTCTAATCCATCACCAAATACTGTTGATTTATCTTACCATCTGAATTGTTCTTTAACCTTTCTTATATTTCCATTTCTATTATATATCCCCATCAAGTTTTTTTATCATCTCACCTCTGCGTTATTATCCTATCTTTTTTCCTTTCCCCCAGTCTTGCCTCCTCTTCATTGAAGTAAGAATGGTCTTCTAAAAATTCAACCCCAATCATGTTAATCTAGTGTTTTACCTATATTTTAGCTCCTTATAAAGTTTAAAAGTTTAGCTCCTTATCATGACCTTGTTGTATCTCTTTCTTCAGCCTTTGCTCCCATGATTTATACATTATGCTTGAGTACATTCATATAACATGCTCTGGAAGACATATATCTATAACTTTCTCACACTATTCTTTCTGTTTTGAATGCTCTCTCTCTCTCTGCATTTTTTAAAAGATTTTATTGGGGAATCGGGGGAAGGGAAAGAGACAAGTTGCTATTGCTTTGTTCTTCAGTCTAGTTGTGGAGGATGTTGCTTCACTGGCCCAAGTTGGCACCATCATTGCGCTCTTCCTGGGTGAGGCAGATCAGTCGTCAGATTCTGGACGGCCGCTCACGGCAGCCGCTGGCTGCTCACGCTGGCTGCTGGCTACACACAGTAGCCCATGGCAAACCACTGCCACAGGGGCTACAGCCTACGCCGTCGCTGGCGACTCACAGCAGACCAGCTCCAGGCTGAGCTGTTGTTCAGCATCTTAGCTGTAGAGGGCAGTGTCACTGGCCCTCATATGTGGGATCCAAACCGGGGCCCTCTGGCATCCCAAGCCAGTTCTTAACCATCGCGCCACTCGGCCGGCCCTCTCTGTGCTTTTTTATACAGACTAATATTTATTTCTCCTTCAAGGCTTGCTTCATATTTCTCATGTGTGAATCATTAGATTGGATTAAGTGTTGCCAGGGCTCATCACACCCACTACTTACTATCTTAGCCCTTACCACAGTATATTAAAAGTTTGGAGTTATCTGGGTATTTTTGAGACTGTAGCTATCCAATTTAGCCACACTACTAGCATAGTAATTGCCTCTAAATAGAAAATCAATACATATTTGTGGGACTCAATTAACTTGAACTACTTATAGAATATTTTGTGATATTGGTATATATCTTAATATAATTTAACAGAAGACTGTGTATGATATAAATAGCCTGTAGCCAAAATTTAAAACCCATCATTCACCAGGTATAATAAATTTAAAACTATTTTTCATGCTAAACAAACACCAAAAACAAAACAAAACAAAACAAAAAAACATTGAGGGAACATATGAAGACATCGTGTCTAGTTTTTCTTTTTAATGGCCAATCCAGTTTGCTATCCTCAAATGCTTTTTCAAGGAACATTTTTGCTTTATGTTTTATTTAACATGTTTTATTAAAGATATAAATGCTGAAATAAAATTTATTTAGCTTCTATTTCAACCCTTCTTTTATACCCTGTCATTTTGTTTACACATTAATCTATATATGCTGTCTCCTCGTCTTGTCATCTCCACCACACTTTTTCACCCATTGCAATATGGTATGACTCCTGTGCACTGCAGTCTGGCTTTGTTCCGATAAAGCTGGTCTAATTTTCCCAACAAAAAGATCCTTTGAAGTTCTATTTCCTTGATCTCTAGTTAGAATTTTATGCTGTGAATAACTAACTGATGTTTTAAATTTTCTACTATAAACTTCAATTACTTTACTATCTGAATTTTCCTCCTAGTTACCTGCCCCCAGTTTTTCTACTACCTCTATTAAGCTGCAGTCATCGTACCCAAGATGGTAGCTGAGAACAGTGGTTATAGTGAGATCTCTGAAGAGAAAGGAGCCTTGGACAGGACCCTGGTGAGTCTATACAGTACCCATTGGTGAAAGAGGGAGAGCCCAACATTAGAGGTGGGAGGAAACCCAGAAGAGAAATGATACGAAAACAGCAGTTCCAGGGCTGGTCAAGTGGCACATTGGTTAAGAGCTGGCTTGAGATGCCAGCTCTGAGCCTCAGGGCCCCGGTTCGGATCCCACATGAGGGCCAGTGACACTGCTGTCTGCAGCTAAGATGGTGAGCAGCAGCTCGACCTGGAGCTGGGCTGCCATGAGTCGCCGGCAACGGTGTAGGCTGCAGCCCCTGCTGAAGTGGGCTGCCATAAACTACCGTGTGTGGCTGGCAGCCAGTGTGAGCAGCTGGCAGCTGGTGTGAGCTGCCAAGAGCCACTGTGAGTGGCCATCCAGAAGCCGGCGACTTATCTGCCTCACCTAGGAAGAGTGCAATGATCATACCAACATGGGCCAGTGAAGCAACGTCCTCCACAACTAGACTGAAGAACAAAAGGACAGCAACTTGTCTGTTCCCCTTCCCCAGTTCCCCAATAAAAAATCTTAAAAAAACCCCCAAAAAACAAAAAACAGCAGTTCCATGGAAACCAAAGAATGAGAAAATTTAGGGAATAGGACAGTTCATTGCTGAATTTCAAACCAGCGTTTCTATACATGTAACATCTTCACCTGCAAGAAATGTATAGATATCACAAACACAGTATATACAAACCAAATAGGCCATCTTCCATCCAGCATGAGCACTTTTCCACACAGTCTTCCCACTACTGATTCATTCCACTATATATTCAGGTACTAAAGCCAAAAATATAGATGTCATTCTGAGACTTTTCCTTTTGCTTTATCCACTACATTTAGCCACCAAGTTTTATCAAATTCCTAAAACAATAAGCTATCAATATTATTCTACTGCTTTAAATTTTTCAGTACATCCTCCTTGTCTTCAAGATAAAAATAAATCCTTAGGTATGACATGCAGAGCCCTTCACAATCTGATTCTGGTTTCATTAAATTATCAAAATAATTTATTTGAGTGGTGTGACTTTTCACATACTGGATTAAAAATTATTAAAATAGTTTTAATAGGTTAGGAATAACAATTTATAGTTTAAAATAAATTTGAACAAATACAACAATAATAAATGTAAAAAAGAACATATGTTCACACATATATACTAAGGACTGCTGATATAGTACAGACACCTGGGCTAACTATATATCAGCATTATAGTAAAAGCAAGAGAAAGAATCAGAATATCTTGATAACTAAAAAAGTTAATTAGTATACTATTGTACACATTTTGAGAAAAGATATAATCCAGATTTTTTTTGTCTAGAAGTTTTGTATTTAAGAGTTCCTTTTAAAACAATTACATATATAATAACATCAAAAAGAATAAAATACTTAGGAATAAGTTTAACCAAGGGGGTGAAAGATCTGTATACTGAGAACTATTGGGTTGTCGGAAAAGTCATGACATATTTTGTCTGTTTTTCAAAGGTCATTTATTTATATAAAAGAACAAAGATCAATCAATGATATATTGCCCATTTTGTTCCATAACCTTTTGCTGTCTTTCAGAGAGCTTCGTAATTCCTTGTTCATAGAAGGACCTGTCTTAATTTGCGAAAAACTGAACAAGGTGCTGATTTACAGCCTCATTTGAATTGAACATTATACCACGCAAGGAATTTTGAAGACAGCGAAACAAGTAGAAGTCTGATAACTCAAGGTCAGTTGAGTATGGTGGGTGTGGCAACACATCCCATCCAAGCTCCAATAATTTTTGACGGGTGATCAAACTTGAGTGTGGTCTCGTGTTGTCACGATGGAACACAACTTCTTTACAATTAACAAACTCTGGACATTTCAGGATGATGGATTCATTCAAACTGTCCAATTGCCGATGGTACACATTCGAATTGATTGTTTGGTTCCTTGGTAGGAGCTCGAATAACATGACACCTTTAAAATCCCACCACACTGAGAGCATAACCTTCCTCTGATGAATGTCTGCTTTCGATGTCGTTTGAGGTGAATCATCACATCGGGACCAAAACCGTTTGTGCACCACATTATTGTAAACAATCCACTTCTCATCACCAGTTATTAGTCGCTTCAAAAAAAAATCGTTTTCCTCATGTTTAATGAGCATATTGCAGATGTTTATACACGCCATCAAATGAACTTCTTTGAGTTCATGTGGAACCCAAATATCGAGCTTGCTTATGTATCCATTTCTTCACGTGGTTGTGAACACTTGAATGATGGATGTTCAATGTTTCTGCAATCTCTCGTGTCATGTAATGTGGGTTTTGACTCCATCAATGCCTTTGTTTTGTCGTCATCAACCTCGGTGGGCCTCCTTGACTGAGGAGCGTTGTTGAGATCAAAATCACCAGCACAGAATTTTGTGAACCATCATTGGCCCTGAAGTTCTTGTAGAGCATTGTCACCCTAAACTTTATGCAACTTTTCACAAATTTGACGTGCATTCTTCTCTCTTTGGAAGTAAAACATAAAATATGGCAAAAGTGCACAATTTGGTCTTCAATCTTCAACTTGTAAAATCTCCAAAACTCAACCAAATCACTAAATTTTTTTGTAGAATGAAGTTAGAACTGTCAGCTGTCATATGACATAGCAATAACATAGATGTGAATGACTCTAGTACTTCCAAAAATGAACTAGTGCCATCTGCCGCAAACATGCGTCATGACTTTTCCGACAACCCAATAATTTTGATGTGTGGGTGTGTGGTATGTGTGAAACCATGAAGCAATCATCACAATCAAGATAATGAACATATTCATACCCTCCAAAATTTTCCTCTTTCTCTTTATCTCCCTTCCACCCTTTGCCAAACTGCTCTTTCTCTGCAAACTCCATTCTGCCTCCTATCACTATAGATTATTTTATAAAAATTTGTAGAAATAGAATCATATAGCATTCACTTTTTTCTCTGTGACTTATCTCACTCAACGTGGTGTCTGAGAGTCATGTATGTTGTGTGCATTTATACTGACAATTCACTCCTTTTTATGGCTGAGTAGTTTTTCATTGCATGTATATATCACAACTTTTTTTATCCATTCACATGTTGATGGATTTTCCCCCAGTTTTTGGCTATTACAAAATTAGCTTTCATAAACATTTATGGGCAAGTTTTCATATGCATGTATACTTTTGTTTCTATAGAATAAATACCAAGGAGAACCAAAGTTCATTTTTGCATATACATATGCAATTGTTTCAGCACCATTTGTTGAAAACATAATCAATCCTCTTTCCACCAAATTACATTTGCAACTTTTTCAAGAATTGGTTGACTATATATGTTAGCATTTTTCTGAACTCTGTATTATGTTACATTGATCTATGTGTCCACCTTTATGCCAATACCAGACTGTTTAGGTCTCATGGCTTTATAACAAACCATAAAGTCAGGTTGTGTAAATATTTCAGCTTTGTTCATTTTTTCAAAGATAATCTGCTATTCTTGGTTTTTGCATTTCCATATGAGTTTTAGAATCAAGAGTGTCAATTTCTAAAAAAAAAAGATGATTGGAATTTCAACTGAGATCCTTTTGAATCTAAAGACCAGTATGGGGGCCGGCCAAGTGGCTCAGTTGGTTAAGAGTTAGCTTAAGAGCATGAGCTCTGAGCAACAGGGCCGCTGGTTTGATTCCCACATGGGCCAGTGATGCTGCGCCCGAGCTGAGCTGCCAACAGGTGGCAGGATGGCTCAGCTGGTGAGAGCACGTGCTCCTAACAACAAGACTGCCTGTTCAGTGGTGGGCTATGCCTGCCCACAACTAACACTGAACTCAGCACCTTGAGCTGAGCTGCCACTCGGATGGCTCAGTAGATACAGCATGAGCTCTTAACAATAAGGCTGCTGGTTCAACTTCCACATGGGATGGTGGCTATGTCCACCCACAACTAAGACTGAACTCGGCACCTTGAGCTGAGCTGCCACCTGGATGGCTCAGTGGATAGTGCATGAGCTCTTAACAACAAGGCTGCTGGTTCAATTTCCACATGGGATGGTGGCTGTGCCCACCCGCAACTAAGACTGAACTCAGCACCTTGAGCTTAGAGGCCACGAGCTGCCGATGGGCAGCCAGATGGCGATTGGTGCCCTCCACAACTAAGACTGAAGGGCAACAACTTGGCTTGTCCCTCTCCCCAATT